ACAGGAGCAGCAACAGCAGCAGCAGCAGCAGCAGCAGCAGCAGCACCGTTTGTCAGTTGTTAGGGATATGTTCCTCCCTAGGGAGGGTCTGACGAGGAGCAGCAGCACTCCTAGCAGCAGCAGCAGCAGCAGCAGCAGCAGCAGCAGCGGAAGCAGCAGCGCTCGATGTGCATTGACACCTGCTGCTGCTTTAAGCTCGTCAGCACCTGCAGCTGGCAGTCCCGCTGCTGCAGCAGAGTCTGCTGCTGCTGCTGCTGCTGCTGCTACCTCGATGTGGGTCTTTTTTTCTTAACTGTTAACGCGGGAGTCTTTTTAGGGCTTTTACTTGCATGCATGCATGCATGCATGCATACATTAAATATAATTAAATGTATGCATTATATATTATTAAATGCATCCATTAAATATAATTACATGCATGCATTATATATTATTATATGCATGCATTAATGCATGCATATTATAATGCATGCATAAGGATGCATGCATTAAAAATAATAAAATGCATGCATAATAAAGCATGCGTCAAACGTATTAAGATGCATGCATGCATGCATGCATAGAAAAATGCATGCATGCATAAAATGCATGCATAATAAGATGCATGCATGCACAAACTGCATGCATGCATAAGACGAACAAGATGCATAAAATGCATGCATAATAAAATGCATGCATAATAAAATGCATGCATTAAAATGCATGCATTAAAAAATGCCTGCGTGCATAAGACGAACAAGATGTATAAAATGCATGCATGCATGCATACAAATGCATGCATTAAAATGCATGCATGCATGCAAAAAATAAATAAGATACATTAAAATGCATGCATCAAAATGCATGCATGCATAGAATGCATGCATGCATGCAAATAAATAAGATACATTAAAACGCACGCATGCATTAAATGCATGCATAAAATGCATGCATAAAATGCATGCATTTTAGCCAGGTGCAAGGAGATTTATATTTATTGTACAGATGCTTCTTTTTCTCTTCTCTGTCTTTTATTTATTTATTTCTTTTATGTCGTCTCATGCTTCTTTATTTATTTGTTTTTATATTTGGGTGCATGCATGCTCTCTATTTATTTTTTTATTTTATTTGTTTTATTTATTTATTCTTTTATTAATTTGTTTTTTGTTTATGCATGCGATCAGCTGCCACCTCTGCTGCATTGAGCCTATATAAAATATATATATATATATATATGTATATATATATTTATTTATTAATTTATATACTTCTATAATTACATACATCTTTTATATGCTTTATAGCTATATATGCAATTATATTTATATTTATATTTATATTTATATTTATATTTATATTTATATATATATATATGTATATATATATATATAATTAAATACATATATATATGCTTGTACATATATATGTATATATATATATATACTGATATATATATATATATACAGATATAGATATAGATATAGATATAGATATAGACTTTAGATTTAGATACATATACACAGGTATATATATATATATATATACATATATATATACATATATACTTATATATATATATACAGATATAAATAAAAAAAATATATCTATATATATATATATACATATATATATATGTGCAAATATATATATATATATATACATACATATACAAATATATATATATATATATATATATATATATATTTGTATCTAGGTGCAGATATAGATATATGGGAACAAAGGAGCATGTGCATATGTAGACAGAGATATATATATGTATATACATATATATATATATATATATATGCATCTCTGTCCGCATGCATGTATAATATATATATATATATATATGTATATACATGTATGTATATATATATATATATATATATATATATTATACATCTGTGTAGACTTGCATGCATAAAGAATAATGTAAAACAATATAAACAATGAATGATGGCGTCCTCTTTGACTGCGTTTGGCTGTTAATTAGTTGTACAGACTCTGCGCTTTATCTTCTATTGTTCTCAGTCTCCTTGATTAGCTAGCTAGCTGGCTAGCTAGCTAGCGGTTTAGCTAGTGGTTTAGCTAGCTAGTGGTTTAGCTATGTAGCGGTTTAGCTAGCTAGCTGTCTGTCTACGTAGCTGTCTGTCTGGCTAGCTGCATTTCTAGCTAGCTAGCTGCCTGTATTGATAGCTAGCTGTCTATCTAGCTAGCAAAACAACAAAAATTATATATACATATATATATGTATATATTATATATATACATATATATATGTATATATTATATATATATACATATATATATGTATATATTATGTATATACGTATATACTTTACATACATACATACATATTATATTTTATATATACATAGATATACATATATTCAAATGTATTTATAAAAATCAATGCGTTAATAGATCAACATATATATAAAGACAAAGCGAGGTATAAATATATACATATATATATAAATAAATATATATATATAAATATATATATATATATATATATATA